AGGTCACCTTTTTTTGCACCTGACAGGGTCTTGACAATGATAGGATTTAAGCAAGGTATTACTCAGGTTACAGAAATCAGTGACAAACTGGTTACCCAATGTGGCCTAGCTTGCGAAACACACACTTGGCTAAGAGCTTTACCTCACTAAGGACCTTGAGATTTGACCTTTAATTTTGAACATGTGAGTGTATAAACAAGCCATCACAATTTGTCTGCGCTGCGCTTGTCACAAAAACTATTTACACAGAAAGGACCTACAGCTAAGTAGCAGGCAGAGGCCATTCTTGTAACACCCTACCCTGGTGATTTCTCTGAGGGTAAGAGACCTCCTTGCCTTACCACACAGGTGGAGAGGTGCCCAGCTTTATAGCTGGGGCCCTAAGCACTCTGCAGGTCCCTCCACCGGACAGCCTTTGACTTGGATCTTCATGTATCTGGGCATCTGGGACAACGCTCAGAAGTCAAGCATTCCCCTGTTTAAGAGGTACTGTTGCTTCTGAAGTGCAGCATTACTGTTGCATTAGGCAAGAGTCACCATCAGTGTCCTGAGTAATGCTGCCTGCTTATATCATGTTTCAAAACATGCAAACAAATCTGTGGCCTTTGCTCCCAGCAGAAGCGTTGTGTGGATTTGAATGGAGATGGAAAGACTGGCTGGTAGGAGGGGACCTGCAGACCAGCTAAACCATGCACTACTGAGCAAGTAAGCCAGGGAGCTTCTTAAGAATGAAATGCCTGTGTCAGACACTGCATTTCTCTAGCCCTGGACCCAACAGGAATCAGTATCCTTTGTTCCATTGCTCAAATGTGGTAGCACCTTCAGGAGGAAGTGGCATTTATTAAGTGAATGCTGAGTAGCATCTGCAACATACATGATACTGGTGTCTTGGGTATTATTATTAATATAATAAATTTATTATATAAAAATATGAATTATATTATTTACCAGAAAGGAGGGTATCAATTCTCCACCTCTAGTTTGCTAATTATCAGGGAAGAGTTAAAACTGTAACTGCAACCCCAAAATCTGCAGCTACTTGTACCCTGTTGTTGGGTCAGCAGTTTGCCTTATAAGGAGCCCTCACCTCCTCACCTGTAGAGGAAAGTCCAAATGCGTATTCAGAAGGTTCTGGGGTAGTTCACCAAAAGGCAGAAGTGCAGAAATCCACGTAGAAGGACAGCCTGGGAATACAGGCCAAAACTGCAACATGCTGGAGATCTCTGACTCCCAAGAAGACAGTACAAGTCTTTACTCGGAACTTTGTAATGCCCCTCAACCATCTGAAACCCCAACTCATCCTGTGAGTGACATGAACTGAATCTTGCTGAATCTATGATTCAGTGCCATGACTGTGCTGTTTCCTGCAATCCCTCTGATGCTGAAGAAAATGACTTGCCTATTATCTTTACTGCTAAAGCCTGGATTTCCTATGCAGGGGAAGTCTTCATGTAAAAAAGCAGCAAAAATGCTTTAAAGAAGGAGGAGAATGTGCTCAGTTTGTGAAGCAGCCGATTTAAAGGCAACAAGACCCTTAGGGAACCCTGAGCCACAATAGTTGACATTTGGAGCAGGAAATGATGGTTTATTTAACTGAACTGAAAACTACCAGGGAATTTATACAAGGAAACAGAATTAACAAGAGCATTTAGCTAAGACAGACATGAAGGCTAAAACCCCTGTGACTGTGGGAAAGACTGAGATTTTTGCCATCTGTAAAGTGAAAGTGGCCTCTGCTTTGTGATTAATCTATAAGACAGATCAGGTGGGCAAGAGATCCCCCCAGGCGTGTTCCTTTTGCTCATCAACACTGCTTCTTGCAGTGTCTGCTGCTTCTCTGCAGTTTCCCTTCCAGCCACAGACCTGCCTTGAAGCTTCTAATAGCACAATTCTGCTCCTAAATATGCATTTTTTTTCAAATGCTTCAGTAAAAATACCTTTGAACACACTTGCTAGTTAAAAGGGAGCTTTCTGTTCAAATAATGGTCTTTTTTCAGAGATTTTCTTCACTCTTCTTACCAATATGCAGTAACTGTGATCTTTCACCTTCTGTGGTAGTGAATGATATCTAGGAGTTTAACTTTGCTAGAGGATCTGCCTACAGACAGCAGGGCAAGAGAAGAAAACCTAAGTCAGGTAACTTTAGTAACAGGAAAGGAAATGGAAGGAATGGCACAGCATAAAAGCATTAATTATTCATTACTAAATACCGGGGGGTGAGGGGAGGGGGGAAGAAGAAGTATCTGTGAGCAGCTTTGGGGTTTGCCAGAACATGGATGTCTCAAGACAGAGGTCCCTTAGATGATGGGCTTGATCTATGATCTCCTCTGTCATTGCCCAACAGCGACATTCCCATGGCCTAGCTTTCTTTTCTGTGTGTCTCTTCCCTTCTCCCTCCACCCCTGCTGAGGGCCAAGGAGTCTGTGTTTTGGAACTGGCATCCATTGTCTCAGCTGCACTTGAGCCCATCCAACAGGGAGAATGCAAGTAGCTGGCCTTCTGCAGAGCTGTCCTGGTTTGGGCTGTAACAGCTATTTTTTCTCCCTCCTAGCAAGTGATCCCAGCTGCTTGGCTTCCTTACCCTCAGATCCCCGTTCTGACTTACTGGCTGGGTTTAAACCACAGCAAGAACAGTGACCTTAACCTCCTTCTCCAGCCCGCTGGGAGAGCAGAGTTCAATGAACAACAGTCTGGGTGCGCTGCTGAAAGCCGTGGCCTTAGGGGAACTAACTTTTTGTTGTTGTTAGGTTTGCTTCCAGCTGAATGGTTCCCAGTCGGCTTCATTGTGCAATCCTACAAATCCTGATGCCAGCACAAATAAGGGGTGATGAAAAAGCTAGCAATGCAGGGAGCAGAGGTTTCTTCTGTCAGCAGCTGCGCTGGCTTAGGCCATCCACAAACACTTATGGGATGCCTGCTCCAAGAAAAGCTTGATGAACCATGTTGAATGTGAAACCCTGTGAGATGATTATTCAGACTTTCCTGCAATTCTCACAGATCCTAGCATGGGCTTGCTTCTCTCTGTACTGCACTCTGTGTGCTGCGTACTTTTTAGGTATTCACACGGCACTACCTGGACGAGAGTGCTTCAAAAGGGAATGAGTTTGTTACACCAAATCATCTTCTGTTGAGCACCACCAAATCATCGCAACCTTGGACAACCAATCAACTGACTTTGTGTTATCTATGTTGTTCTAAAGGCTACATTTCAAAACCTGAAATGTATGGATTGGAGAAGCTGACAACAATTTGTTCTGCTCAAGCTGTTTAATAACACCACACAGACCTTGTTTGAAAAGCTTGCTTCCAAGGGAGGGAATTTAACCAACTTCCAGATTAACTTCCTCCTCAGTTATAGTGAACAAGAAGTCTTCAAATATTTAGCATCTAATTTACTCTAACAAGTCGAGGAAATAAGTGTTAAAAACTCAAACTCCTGCTTGACAGTCTATTTGTAGTTCCTCCTGTGGTAATGAGCCAGATTCTTGTCTAGTATAAATGGACAAAAATCCACTTAAGACATGCAAAAATGTTGATTTATGCTAGCTACAAATCTGACCTTTATTTTGGTATTTCATGGTAAGCTCCAGTCACTGTTCATTTATTGAAATTGAATTAGATTTACCAAAGTATGCTCTGACAAAATGGATGGCTTTTCCCTTAACTTTTTGTGCCAGGGATAAAATGGTGGTCTATTTCAATGTAGAATTGTTAATAAGACAGTTTTGTTAAAGGAAAGCTGGAAATCATATTAACATTCATTACAATGCCACACGTTTTTTATTTCTCAAGGTTACACCACATGTGTACAATTTGATCCACAAGTTACAGCATCCTTCCATGAAATCTGAGATAAACCTGCAGAATAGAGGTTGAAATAAATTTAGCTAACAAGCAATTCCATTAAAGTTTAAATATATGAAGCCAAAGGATTTGCTGAGAGTGTATTGGAATGAATATATCCTTATGTTTGCTTAACTGAAACTACATTGCTCCAAATGACCTTATGTTCTTTATTTCTAAGTCCACAATCTCTGCACTGAGGCACAGACTTACCAAAGACAATAATCAAGAATTTATCTTATTAAATATCACACTATTTTTGACTATGCCAGCTGCACAGTAAATACAGCTTAGCACTGCAGAGAACCATGCTGAGAAAATTGCATGTGAGATTACACTACTGTGACTTGCTCAATATGGGGGCTACACTCAAAAGACAGAGCTCATGTAGGAGGCAGCAGCCTGTTTGCTAAATTCTTTTTCACATAGGTAACATCTGACGATGCTGTTTCCAGTCTGCAGTACTGGTTTTTATTAGCTTCCTGATGAAGTAGTTTGCATTAAATTGTTTACAACCCAGCCACTAGGTAAAGACTTCTCCTCTAACATGACAGTACACCCATAGGGATTTGACAAAGAAACATGACGTGTGACATGAATGAGGTATGAATGGCAATCTGCTAGTGTGAAATCATCAAGAAACAGTAAGAATGGGCAAAGTAATGGCATGTGCAGCTTCTAAAGACACTGGGGTGTGGAAAACCAAGCGCTGCCTCCTGGATGGACCTCAGACATATGCTGGAGGCAGGTTTTTCTCCAGCCCTGACTCCTAGACCTATACCAGAGCTGGCTTGTCTCCAGCCATGGTTCCTAGAAGGACCTTGGACTTATGCTGCAGCTTTGTCTTCAGCTCCATCTCCTGGGTGGACCGTGGGCCTGTGTTGCAGCCTTGTTTCAAGCTGTCTCTTTGTCCTATCTCCTGCTACTCCTGGATAACCCCTGGACCTGATTCATTAACTTCACCTTGTTTGAGTCCATTGATGGACCCTTTAATCAATATCTGTATCTGCATGCCACATTAAGGGAATGCACCCAGTCAATGAAGGCACTGCTTGTACTGGGTTACCCTTGGTTCCTGGCTTGCACCTCAGAGTCCTGTCCAGGCTAAGAGTTCACATGCAACTCCACCCTCAATGCACATGAAAGGAGAAAGTCTGTGAGAGAAAGTATGTGTGAAATCAGTTTAAGTATTGTGTCCAGCTCTAGGGCCCCCAAGATAAGGACTTGTACCTATCAAAGGGAGTCCAGGGGAGGGCCACAAAGGTGATCAGGGGGCTGGAGCACCTCTCCTGTGCAGACAGGCTGAGAGAGCTGGGCTTGTTCGGCCTGGAGAAGAGAAGGCTCTGGGGAGACTTTAGAGCCGCTTCCAGTAGCCAAAGAGGGCCTACAGGAAAGCTGGAGAAGCCCTTTTTACAAGGGCAAGTAGTGATAGAACAAGGGGGAATGGCTTTAAGCTGAAATAGGGGGGTTGAAACTAGGCAATCTTTAATGTCCTTTCCAAAACAAACCGTTCCATGATTCTATGAAAATAAAATCATCTTTCCTTCTGTGTGGTTTTGCATTGAACTTTGCTATGTTAGGCAAACATAAGGAAACAAAACACTCAGGACAACACTGATCTAATAGACAGGTGCAGAGTTTTTTGTACCCTTCATTCTGAAACTTGTTCCCTCATTATATACAAAGGAGACTGATTTATTAATCTTGGAGGGTGAGGGGTACCTAATAATCTGGGCATGATTTTCTTCAAGACAGGGAGCAGATGAGATGAAAAGGTGCAACAAGTAAAGGAGCAGAGTTTCAAGAAACAGTTCATCTTCTGTTGCTTCCATTTGCAGCTTATTATATTGTTTTTATTCTCATGTGTAATACAGTAGAGATCTGTAGAAACAGCTAGGAGCCTAAGCTGCAGAAATGCCATAGCCCCAGAAAATTACACAGATCTTCAAATGAGGCTCTCAGCACTGTTTGGGAAATAAATCCAAATATTTCTCTAAGTGTTTGAAGAGAAGATGCTTTGGCTCCAGAGCAATACGAGAAAATGTACAATCCAATTGATCTGCTTCAGATGCCACAACCATCTGCAACTGCATGTGGCATACACATATTTCTCAGCTTTGCAGACATGTATAATTATGAAAAGCCTTGAATACTTTCAGTAAAATAGATAAACCTTTGATGTGTTCTTTTGGTTGTTTACTTATGTCTCAGCAGCACTCTGTGGAAAGATCTCCTCCTGGAAAGCTCAGGGCGGGGGGCTCTGCGAAGGCACTGTACAGAAGCGCCTGAGAAGCAGCCAATATGAACAACAACGGCTGGCACCAGCGGGGGTCACAGGTGCTTGTCTGAACACAGTATTGTGCAACATCTCCAGGCAGTGTAGGCGACCGCCGCGGCTGTACCAGAGACACGACCGCCATCTGCTGCCACAAACCCAGCCCGACCCATGTAACGCAAACGAGGAGCAGAAATCCCGCAAGAAGCCCCATGTCCACGACCCACCAGCGGCTCCCGTGGGCTTGCGCCTTAGCGTCTCATCTTCATTATTTCTAGCGCTGCTGTCACTTCTTACCTCTTATTTATTTCTGTCAGGTAGAAAGAGCAAACTCCTGTTACCGGTCGTATGAGCTGGCGTGCGGATGGGCAGCTGACCGCAACACTGCACTACATCCTCTGGGGATGCCACACACCATGTGCGATGGGGATGGAGAGGCACACATAGTCAAAGTAACTATACAGCCAGCACACACGCATATACCTGCATATGCACATGTCTGTGCTCACTGCAGCTCAATAGTGCTAACAATTGCTTTCTATGCACCTGAAATACACAGAGTTTATATTCCATGCAAACACTTGGTCCCTTAGTTGGAAGCTTGGATGGAATGCAGACAGGGGTTTTGGTTGTGGGTATTTTCTATGGAAGAGAGCTTGCCAGCACTGAATGATTGATCTGTTGGAATCAGCTCACTAAACTGGGGCAGTCGGCTCTCAGTCCAAGTTTTCTTATCTGGATGCTCTCCCCAAAGGCTGTTTCCCCTGTGATCTAAATCCACCTAATCACTAAGGAAAACCCTTATTGCTTTGCAGACTGTCTTACATACGTTGTTTGCTTTCCTATTAACTCTATAATATCTGAGCGCTGTGCCCGCTGTTCAATATTTAAATACTGTTTTTTCCTCATTTACTATGATGGTGATTTTTTTCATTGCCTTATTTTTAGTAACTTTGGAAGGAAGTTTATTCTTATAAAATAATCCTTTCTTTGCCTCATATTTTCAGAATTCTTATGAACATATTGCTTGCTTAAATAGCTCAACCTACTGTCCATGTATCCTGATACCACATATCAGAGAAGGGTTTTTGTCTATTTCCTGCAATAGCAGAAAATGCACACATGCCAGATATCTCTGTTTTAGAAAGACTTCTAACACTGTCTCACATGGCCATGCATCTCACAAGCAAGTCCAGAAAAACACAAATGGATGAACACACAACTGGGTGGAAACTGGACCCACAGAATATTTAGCAAGAGTACACTGTTGACTTGGCTGGATGCATCAAGCAGAATTCTGCAGGAGTATCTCCATTAAACAACTTGGATGGCAGAACAGACAACTTGCTTACCAAATCCACTGGCTTGGAGGGGCAGGAAGTTTTGCAGGATAAAGTTAGGATCACAATGAACCTGGCAAATTACAGTAGGGGGGAAGAAAATACAAAGGAGGTGCTTTCATTCTCTGCAGAATCACCAACATCGGGAATGGAGGTTGCGGAATTACTGGTCTGATAGCATCACTGAATAAACAGACTTGGTGGTTAGCACAGATGGCAAACCAAACAGGAGTCAGCCATACCACTACAAGAAAGGTAAATACCACCTGGAGTTATATAAAAAAGAATATTTTTTTGCCAGGCAAATGAAGCTATTCTTCTGTTATGCTTGGGGCCAGTAAACCTTCAGTTGGAGTACTGTCTTCTGCTTTGGGTAGAATAAGGAATTAGAGGTTTTATGAGGAAACACTGGAAGAATTGGAGTGGTTTGGCCTAGAGAAAAAGGAGACCCAGTAGGGGGGCCCTAAATATGTGCTCTGTATTTCTAAGGGAGAGGCCAATAAATTCACGTGCTGAAAAGGCTCAGTGGACAACAAAGAGCTGGGTTTGATGTTTGAAACAGATCGCTCATGGTGCAGATAAAAAAACAGTAAGAAAGATTATTGCAGGGCACAACAGCATTGGGTTTTGAGTTTTCAGGCACAGGCTGGACAACGTATGTGTCAGAAATTACCTGAATACAATTGATCCTGCTTTTTGGGTGGGAGGAAGTGGGCAATTCCCATCCTTGTTTCTCTGATACTCCTGTTTGGAGGCAAAGGTCATAATTTAGACATCAAGGTTAGATGTCAAAATTACGTATTGTCAGTACCAGCTAATTACCATCCCAAGACTCTTGCTTTCCATTTCTGTTTAATATATCATTAGGGAAAAAAAAAACAACCCTGTAGTTAATAATTCACATGAAAAGCAGCAATAAAGTAGGCTGGCACCACGCCATGAAAGCTTGATTTGTTCAAACCTGTGTTTTCCAAGTTGTAGGCTTCTTTTGAGCACATCCTGCCAATTTTGCTGATGTCTAAATGGCTGATGATCTAGAGACCTGTCTGTTGGCCATTAGGATGATTCAGTTCATTTAATAAAGGCCATATTAGAACACCCATTTAAGTTACTGCAGAAAGGATCCTGGGTGAACAGGGGAAAGGAAAACTAACACAAATATTACTCACCCAGAAAATGCTAAAACTTGGGCTCTGAACAGCCTTTGATATTTGACCTCTGCAGATGGCCTGTAATTAAGATTCTAATCCTTTTAACACTTAAGCACACTTCACTCAAAATTAGTAAGATTAGTCACATGCCTGAAGTGTGCATGGCTGGGGTGAAAAACTTGTTGAGTACAGCTGGTTAAAAACTTGCAGTGAAGACACTTTCTGGTGGAATATTGTCTTACATTTTCTAAGTCTTTGATAAACAGTTCTAGTCTCAAGTAATTTCCTAATGTGAAGATATTTCATAAAAAATAAACTTAACCAGGTTCCTGCTTAAAAAGTTACACACAAGAAGAATAAATCAATCTGAACTTTTTCAAAAGCGGAAATTACCGGTTCTTGGGAGATTTGAGGGGAGTTATTTTGGTTTTATGTAAGATGTAGTTTTAAATTCACTAACTTTCATGAGTCTTTCAAAGTATATTTGGGGTTAAACATGCACAGAATCAGACAAGTCAGAGAGTTATGAAATGAGTAAGAAACATTTTCTATGTTGGTGCTTATTTAACAGGAGTATCAGTTTGGCTTAAGAGCACAATTTGTTTCTTCTCCTGCTGCTGACAAACCAGCTATACTTGGGAATCCTGACAAGTCTGGTCTGGATCAGTTCATCACATTTGAAACATATGCAAAGATTATGAAGAGTGAACACAATTTGGGAAGTGATTTAAGACACAGGGACGATAGATCTGTAGGCATACATGGCATGGAGGTTCCCATTTGTTGTTGCACATCTGCCAGAAAAGAGACTGGACCACATCAAGGCATTGTGCTGGTGTGTAACATGCGCTAGAACTGGATTTAACTGCCACAGGTGCAATCTGAGAATCCTGACACAGCTCAGCGTCTCTTGCTGCTGCCCTATAAAATGCCTGCAGCATACATTTACACAGCACTATTATTTCTCCCATTGGCCCTAACACAGATATAAATCCCGTCTGATGAAGGACATGTGATATCACACTATTGTCATAAACAAGAAAAGGTAAGGACTGTGGTTAAAGGTTTCCCAAAAGTGGCATGCAACAAACAGCTGCCATGCCATCCCCTGATCTCTTTTAGATGCAGGGAGAGATTTTCCTCATTCATCTTCAAGACTGCAGTCAGCAGAATAAAGACTGCATTTAGCCAAGTATTTTTGCCAGCTCTCACAGGGACCAAAGTAAGCAAACATAAAAGCCACAGAGAGCAACAACCATCGCTCTGTCAATACTGCTGTTGTTATACAGGAATCCGAGTCATACTAAAAGCCCTCTCAAGGAAGCAGTGCAGTGGAGATACAAGAAATTCAAGACAGACCAGGGAAATTCTGATTCAAGAAGCACCACAGCAGTGATGGGGTGGCAGAGAAGACTCCCAGAAAATGGCATCATATCTTTGACAGCACCACCATGGGTAACAGAATGCCAAAACTGAGAGAAAGTTGGTGAACCACTCACTGCCTGTGAAGACAGACTGGAAAGTCTTACAATTAAAAAAATACTTAAGCTGAAAATTTAAAGAAAGTAAAAATACAAAAAGGGCGGTAACCAGAAGAGATGATCTAGGTCTGAGTCAGAAGTAAAAAGTCAGTGCAGTGTCTTATGGAGGTAAGAATTAAAAGGGGAAGTGAGAGAAAGATTAAGTTCTTAAAGGACAAGGGTTTAAACTGGGACCGTGGCCCAGGTGAAAGCAAAGAGAGATCAGTGGAAGCATCACCCTGCTTGCAATGCAAGCATCACAGAAACAACTTCAGGTCTCCCTTAGCTCAAGAACTACAAAAGCCCTGTGAGTTAACTGGTGTGATGCCTCACTCTAAATATTGTCCTGTTCCTCATCTCAGTTAGGGCCACACTGGACACCTTTATCCCAGGCTGCAACATGGCTTATAGCTACATACAGGAAAGGCATTTCAGATACAGAAAAAATAAGGTGAAGGCAGTGAAGAGGCAAAGGGAGATTGGAAAAGGCAGGAACCTGGAGGAACAGAAAGTGAAAAGTGGTCAAGGAATAGCAATGTTAAAGAAGAATTTATGTTAAAGAAGAATGAAATAAAGACGGGAGGGAAAGGAGAGTTTCCTTTCAGTGCCTGTGTTTCTCTAGAAGCAGTGTGTAGTAGAGGAATTTTTCAGATGGATCTCAGATAACAGCTCCTGAAAAGAGCTGACCACTGGTACAAGGGAAGAGTCTTTATTCAGCTACATTGCACAGTTTTCCGGGTTGTGAGAGACTTGGAAGAGTATTTAAACACACACAGAGGGTTTTGTTTGGCCCCTTCGAAGGTCAGCACTGCTCTGGGGAGCCCTGTTTATCAGGAGGCATTCATGGGACCCAGGGCGTGCTGATAGTGCAACCATGACGTGCCTAGAAGCCAAGCACCGTTTTTCAAGGCCCCCATCAACCAAGGAGGGTCGTTGCGGAAACTTAGTACATACTTTTGGTACAGGGTTTCGGCTCGGCTGTGGTCACCTTAGCAGCTGACCTCCCTCCCCGGGAATGCGAGAGGCACTGGGGCAGGTGTTGGGGAGCACCTCAGCCCTCACCCCAAACAGCTTTCCCCCTTCAAGACCCAACAAACCTCACCGCCAGCGGAGGAGCAAGAGCTGTTATTAAATAAACTAGCCACCTGCTTGGTCTATTGACCTGTCCGTACGCCGAGGCCGCGGAGCTGGCGCCCTGTTAGTCTAGGTGACACCAAGCCGCACGAGGGGCCGGAGAGGCAGAACTCTGCGGAGGGCGGAGGGCAGCGAGGGGCGGGGCAGGGGCGGCCCCGGAGGCCGTTGTTAGGCCGCGCCCGGTTCGGCCCTGGACCTCGCTGCTCCGCGGGGCTCCTGGAGAGGCGCCGCTGAGAGGAACAGCACGGGAAACCGCTCCCCCCTCTGCAGCGGAGACGTTTCCTGAGGCGTGGCGTCCGTCACAGTGGAAGTGACGTGCAGGCCGGGTGACGCCGGCGCGAGGCGAGGTGATATAAAGGGTAGGCGGTGGCGGCCGGAAGCGAGCGGAGCGGAGCTGAGCCGAGCGGCGGTGGCGGAGGGGTGGGCTGCGGGTGGGGGGCGCTTCCGTCGGGCGCGGAGGGGAGCGGGGAGGAGGAGGGCCGGTGCCCCAGCCCCTCTCGAGCTGGCCATGGATTTCCACAATATTCTCTTGAAGGCCTCGGAGCAACAGGGGCTGAACTCGGTGCCGGTGAGCTCGGGGGTCGTCAGGGCTGTTGACGGGGAGGGCGGGCTACGTGAGGGCCAGGGCACGGTGACCGCTACAGCCGCTGGGGCGGCGGAGCACCCGGCTGCCCGATCTCTCGTGGCCCCGGGGGGAGCGGTTACTGGGGCCGCGCAGGGAGGAGCTGGCGGGCCCGGCAGCCCTGCGCTCCCCTCACCGGGGGCTGAGGGTCCCGCTTGGGCCGCTGCCCCTCTCCTCGGCCCCTGCCCCGGGGGCCGCCCGAGGAGGCCGGTGTACGGGCCTGGCTGGCCTTCGCGGAGCGGGCCTGGGGCCGCGCCTTCCGCCTCGCCAGC